CACAAGTTCCTGGGCGGGGTGGGATAGCAGGCCCCTTTCGGCAATCAATGGGCAATCGGGCTTTGCTGCGTCACCCCCGAGCCTGTCCCCCTAACGTTCTACTGTAACCGAATTCCCTTCCTCCTCTATCCGCTTCCCCCCGTAAGTATTTCGGCTGTGATGTTCGCCGTTGCCTGCTTCTTGCTCCTGCTGTTCCGCCGTTGCTTCGTCGTTTCGTTTCGGACCGTCCTCCTCGACCGCCGTCGCCCTCCAAATGCAGCGCACAACCATGAAGATAATGAAGCCGTAGTGTCGACACATACACTGGGAGGAGCGACCGTATCGAATGAGTTCGGGCACATACACTGGGAGGAGGACGAAGAAGAGGAGGAGGAGGAGGAGGAGGAGGAGGAGGAGGAGGAGGAGGAGGAGGAGGGGGGGGGGGATGAGCGTGGAGAGGAGGCGGACGAGGAGGACTAGGAGAAGCGCCCACTTCAGACGTGTCCTTGGGCCTACGAGCCCAGGGGCGAGTCAGCAGACTACGCACCTTTTGGTGGCGCCTGGCAAGGACTCGAGCTCGGGCAACCAACAGATTACGGACCCCAGATGGCCCGACATTCGCTCCAGCACGCATCGATATACAAGCAGTAGATATCTAATCGCTAGTCACAAGAGTAGCTTGAAACTCTACTGGTCACATGTCGGGCAATGAAAAACAGCAGCCATAATCTGGAATCGAGGGAGCGCCAGAATCGCAGATTGAGGGGAGCGAACACCAAGGACTAGAAGGAGGACGGCGGCCGATGTAAACTCAAGACGCACCAACGATGTTCCAGTACACCCTCCCAACAAGTTCCCTCTTCACAAGTCCCAGCCAGAATGCATTTGCACTGCGGAAAACGTCCCGTTGAAGACAACAGTGTGAGAATCCTCAAGCGTGCCGAAACACAAGTCCTGGGACTTCAACGCCGCGACTTAACGTCACTGTTGCGTCCTGACGATCCTGAACCGTGCCAGAGTCCCATTCCTAGGACTTCAGCACCGGCGAATCAACGTGCTGGAACACAAGACCTGGGTCGTCAGCCATAAACATCATTGAAACTGCTGCATAAGAGAAAGCGGATGTGCGCGACGCCAAAGCGTGAACCACATGTCGAAAAGGAACCGCCCTCGATCGGTGAAGCTCTTGCAACCTTTCAACATGAGTGCGCACGGCGCTAAGGCAAGAACCCCATTTTGAAAACGGCCCGCTCTCCATCCGTGAAGCCCTTGCACAATATCAGGACGAATGTGCGCGGCGCTGAGGCGAGAGCCACATGTTGACAACGACCCACCCTCAATCCATGAAGCTGCTGTAATGATTAAGTCTCAATATCATTGATGGTGCGGTAGTCTCAAGCGAAATGCCTGGCCCGCCCTACCGAAACGCCTGGGGATGCGACAGGGAGCAATCATTTTTCTATGAGGCAAAGGGATCGAAGACGAGGATACGAGCGTCCTCGGAAACTGTCAACGACGATCTGCACCCGACGGACGAGGCAGGCAGTCGGCAGCAGAGGGCGAGCGAGCGGGCGTCCTCGCCACCAGCGTGCCCAGGGCGGTCCCCCAGAGGTTTGGACCATGTCCCCGGGACCGCTTGTTCGGGCCGTTCTTTGACGGCTGGCGAGGGCCCTGGATGCCGAAATTGGCCCAAATCCCCCCATCGCGATTTTGTTCACAACGCGCGGGGGTTCGGGCCTCTGGCGGCCGTTCGGGGCGACTCTGTCACCCCGAGATCGCTCTAGGCGAGGCGCACCTCAACCGTTGGATGGCATCCCGAGGCTGGTCACCTTCCAAAAACTAATCAACGAAAACGCCCGAACACCTCCCGCCGTGATCTTGCCCACGACGCGAGGAGGTGGGGGTGTTCGCCGCTCGTGGCAGCGGGCGCGCGGAGCGGGCGTCCTCGCCACCAGCGTGCCCAGGGCGGTCCCGAAGCTGCCGGAGCCGAAGACGCACACGCGCGTCTTGGCGCGCACGGCGCCGTCCGATGTCTGCCGCGCGCTCATCGCGCCCTGGCGGTGGGCGAACGAAAGAACGGCGAGCATGCGACAAGGAACATCGAACGAGTAGACAGCAACGCAGCAGCGACGACGACGACGACGAGGAGCGAACAAAGAACGACCGAGTGGACGACACCAACGACGACGCGCGCGTCTTGGCGCGCACCATGGCGCCGACCGAGACTTGCCGTGCGCTCATCGGGCCCTGGCGGTGGGCGCACAACCGACGAACAACGGACGAGTAAACAGCAACGACTACGACGACGGCGAACGACATGAAGCTTCGGGGTTCGCAATTTTCGGGCGTCTTCGGCGCTTCTCCGCGACTTCCCAACCTCGGGGTGCGCTCCAGCGGCTATGCCTCGCCGAGAGCGTCCCGGGGCTGCCCGGATCGTCCCCAACGGCCGCTGGAGACCCGAGATTGATCCGAACGCCGTAGACAACGACGACGACAAAGACGACGAGCGGATGACAGCAACGTCGGTGCACGAGCAACGCACGACGAGGATGGGGGTGGTCGAATGGGGTCAGCGAAGTCGTAAGGAGGTGGTGCTATCACTAGGGCCAGGGGAACGAAGAGTGACATAAACATAAGAACTCGGAAGTCCGCGCTGCATTCTCGGATCGGCGCTGAACCCCCCTCCCTGGCGCGCGGAGCACGCCAGGGGCGGCGCCGGAGGCGCCGCCAGAAGGGTCCAGCGCCGATCCGAGAACTCCGCGCGGACCTCCGAGTTCTGATGTGTATGTCATTCTTCGCTCCCCTTTTCGTCGGGAACCCTTGCTCAGCGGCGGAACGGTGGAGGGATGCAGGAGGCCCTCCCAAGGCGCACGGCGGAAATTCTCCAGCACCACCGCCTGGGGTGCCGGTCTTCGGGGCCTCGGGGCCCTCGGTAGGCCGTGGATCTGGGTCCGGCGACCACCGCCTGCCAGGGGTGAAAGGCGTGCGAGATGACTTTGCTGCCTCCGTCCCCTGTGGCCCAAAATCCAGAGAGGGGGGGGGGTCCTATGAGCTCGTCAGCGTTTCCCCCAGAGCCTCCGGAGCCCCCCAAACAATCCCAAGACGGTCCAAGAGGGCCCAAACAGAGCGCCAAGATACTCCAAGAGAGTCGACACGGCCCAAGATAGTGCCACGATGGTTCCGAGACGGCCCACGAGGCCCCCCAACACGGGCTAAGAGTGCTCCGAGAGGACCGCCGAAAGAGCCCCAAAAGGCAAACACCGTCCCGTTCCCCTTGGAAGACGTATATGGACATCTGCCTTTTTCGTCTTCACGGCGCCCAAGACTGCCCAAGAGGCCCGAAATATAGTTCCAAGACAGCCCATGATGCCTTCAAGAAGGCCCCAAGACGGCCCAAGTCGGACCCCAAGACGGCCCCAGGGGCCTTCAAGATGGCCCAGGAAAGGCCCCAAAGGGCTTTACAAGGGGCCCACATGGGGAATACGAGCTGACATTCCGAGCCCTCCCCACGAGCGCCGCAAGCTCTTACTCCTTATGGGATGGGAGCAACCGCCTGAATCTCTGTGTATACATATACACACATACATACATACATACAAACATACATACAGTCATACATACATACATACATACATACATACATACATACATACATACATACATACATACATAGGTGCATCCACCCATACATAAGCATACACATACATACATACATACATACATACATACATACATACATACATACATACATACATACATGCATGCATGCATGCATGCATGCATGCATACATACATACATACATACATACATACATACATACATACATACATATACACACATATACATATATATATACCAGATATGCTCCCCCCCAACACACATGATCATACATATTCTTCGGCTGTGTATATATACTTTCCCCTCCCTCATCTGCTCCCCGCTCTCCGTCGCTCCTCCTCATCCTGGAATCCCCCTTCAGCGGGGCAGTGCAACCTCGGGCTGAGGGCGGCGGGTAGCGCAAGACTCCTTACTGGGAATCCTTTGGGAAGCCTTACGACAGGAATCCTCTGGAAAGCACCACAAAGGGATTCGATTGGAAAGCAGGAATCCTTTTGAAAGCACCACAAAGGGATACTATGGGAAAGCCTCACAACAATAATCCTTTTGGAAAACACCACGAAGGGATCCTAATCTATTGGGAAGCGCCACAAAAGGATTCGATTGGAAAGCCTCGCGCCAAGAATCCTTTGGAAAACGCAGCTAACGGATTCTAGTGGAAAGCCGCACAACAAGAATCCGTAGGAAAAGCGCCACAAAGGGATGTCATTGGATTGCCTCACAACAGGAACCCTTCGGAAAACATCGCACAAGGTTTTTTTTTTTATTGAAAGACCTCACAACAGGAACCCTTTGGAAAGCACCACACAGGGATTCGAGTGTATTGGAAAACGTCACAAAGGGATTGTACTGGAACGCCTTACAACAGGAATCCTTTTTGGAACGCAACACGCATGGATTATATTGGAAAGCCTCGCAACAGGAATCCTTCGGAAGGCGCCACAAAGGGATTCTCTTGGATTGGACAGCGCCGCAAAGGGATTCGATTGGAAAGCCTCACAACAGGAATCTGTTGGAAAGCGCCACAAAAGGGACCCCCTTGGAAAGCACAACCGTTCGGGGCATTGAAAAAAACAAAAATACACAGAAAAAACAACATGATGGACCCACGAACCCGGAAAAGGATATAGACATGTGCAGCATGGTCACGTTTTCACGATATCCAACTGGGCGACACCACACGAAACATCCCACGAGACATGCCGCGAAACATCCCACGAGACACCTCACGAAACATTCCACGAGACACCTCACGAAACATTCCACGAGACAACCCGTGAAACATTCCACGAGAAACCCCACGAACAGGTAACCACTCAACCAGACACCCCACGAAACATTCCACAGGGGTGCGACTGGGTGTGGTCGTGCTGGGGTGTGGTCGTGCTGGGGTGTGGTCGTGCTGGGGTGGGGTCGTGCTGGGGTGTGGTCGTGCTGGGGGGTGGTCGTGCTGGGGGGTGGTCGGGTGGTCGTGCTGGGGGGGGTGGTCGTGCTGGGGTGTGGTCGTGCTGGGGCGTTGTCGTGCTGGGGCGTGGTCGTGCTGGGGCGTTGTCGTGCTGGGGTGGGGTCGTGCTGTGGAGAGGTCGTGCTGGGGTGTGGTCGTGCTGGGGTGGGGTCGTGCTGGGGTGGGGTCGTGCTGGGGGGTGGTCGTGCTGGGGTGGGGTCGTGCTGGGGTGGGGTCGTGCTAGGGTGGGGTCGTGCTGGGGTGTGGTCGTGCTGGGGTGTGGTCGTGCTGGGATGTGGTCGTGCTGGGATGTGGTCGTGCTGGGGTGTGGTCGTGCTGGGATGTGGTCGTGCTTGGGTGGGGTCGTGCTGGGGTGGGGTCGTGCTGGGGTGGTCCGCACCTTGTGATTTATCGATCGGGTCGTGCTTGGGTGTGGTCGTGCTGGGGTGTGGTCGTGCTGGGGTGTGGTCGTGCTGGGGTGTGGTCGTGCTGGGGTGTGGTCGTGCTGGGGTGTAGTCGTGGTGGGGCGTGGTTGTGCTGGGGCGTGGTCGTGCTGGGGTGTGGTCGTGCTGAGGTGGCCCGCACCCTGTGATTTATCGATCGGGATTTCAAAAACAAGCGTTTCGCCTGAGACATCCTCAAATTTTAATCCGCCGGCCTCCTTCGACCTCGACATTTCTCAGGGAAAGAATCCGCCGGCCTCCTTCAAGTTGGGCACGGAGACATTGTTTACATAGGAAAAGAGAACCCTGGGCCTATGCCCTTTCCGGGAAAAAGGAAAAACCAAAGAAACCAAAGACCCTGTGCCGAACAACCAAAAACACACACAAGGAACAACACACAAAAAACACAACATAACCAAATGTTGCAGCATTTTCTCTGTAAGGGCGGCGGGGACGGGGTAAGTCTTGAAATCTTGGTTTGGTTTGGTTTTGGCTGGTGTTTCCTTGTGTTTGTTGGTTTTTCAACCTGGGTCTTTGGGTTATGTGGTTTTTGTTGTGGTGCTTCCTCGTGTTTTTGTTGTTCAGTGCTCAACCTCCTCTTCCTCCAACCCTCATCCTTCTCCTCCTGCCTCCTCCTCGTGGAGGGACGTCCTTCTGCGCTGGGGGAACACATTTGTTTGCATGTGCTTTCCTTCAGAAAGCAGCACCACACAAGGATTTTATTGGATTGCCTCGCGACAGGGACCCTTTGGAAAGCATCGCAAAGGGTTTTTATTGGAATGCCAGACGCTAGGAATCTGTTGAACATCGCCACAAAGGATTCTAAAGGAAGGGAATGCGCCACAAAGGGATTTCATTGGACAGCCGCACAACCGGAATCTTTCGGAAAGCGCCACAAAGGGATTCTCTTGGAAAGCACGACCACTCTGGGCATTGAAAAACAAAAAATACACAAGAACAGCAAAAGAAAAACCAAAGAAACCAAAGACCCAGGGCTGAAACATGATGGACCCACGAACCCGGAAAGGGATATAGACATGTGGAGCATGGACACGTTTTCACGATACCCAACTGGGCAACACCTCACGAAACATCCCACGAGACACTTCACGAAACATCCCACGAGACACCCCACGAAACATTCCACGAGACACCTCACGAAACATTCCACGAGACACCCCGCGAAACATTCCACGAGACACCCCACGAAACATTCCACGACGACAGGCAACCACTCAACCAAGGCGGTGTGGTCGTGCTGGGGAGTGGTCGTGCTGGGGTGTGGTCGTGCTGGGGGGTGGTCGTGCTGGGGGGTGGTCGTGCTGGGGGGTGGTCGTGCTGGGGGGTGGTCGTGCTGGGGCGTGGTCGTGCTGGGGCGTGGTCGTGCTGGGGCGTGGTCGTGCTGGGGCGTGCTGGGGGTGGTCGTGCTGGGGCGTGGTCGTGCTGGGGCGTGGTCGTGCTGGGGTGTCGTGCTGGGGTGTGGTCGTGCTGTGGTGAGGTCGTGCTGGGGTGTGGTCGTGCTGGGGTGTGGTCTTGCTGGGGTAGGGTCGTGCTGGGGTGGGGTCCTGCTGGGGTGTGGTCGTGCTGGGGTGTGGTCGTGCTGGGGTGGGGTCGTGCTTGGGTGGGGTCGTGCTGGGGTGTGGTCGTGGGGTGTGGTCGTGCTGGGGTGTGGTCGTGCTAGGGTGGGGTCGTGCTGGGGTGGGGTCGTGCTGGGGTGTGGTCGTGCTGGGGTGTGGTCGTGCTGGGGTGTGGTCGTGCTGGGGCGTGGTCGTGCTGGGGTGGGGTCGTGCTGGGGTGGGGTCGTGCTGGCGTGTGGTCGTGCTGGGGTGGTCCGCACCATGTGATTTATCGATCGGGTTGTGCTGGGGTGTGGTCGTGCTGGTGCTGGGGTGTGGTCGTGCTGGGGTGTGGTCGTGCTGGGGTGTGGTCGTGCTGGGGTGTGGTCGTGCTGGGGTGGGTCGGCTGCGTGCTGGGGCGTGGTCGTGCTGGGGCGTGGTCGTGCTGGGGCGTGCTGTCGTGCTGGGGCGTGGTCGTGCTGGGGTGTGGTCGTGCTGTGGTGAGGTCGTGCTGGGGTGTGGTCGTGCTGGGGTGTGGTCTTGCTGGGGCGTGCTCGTGCTGCGGTCGGGTCGTGCTGGGGTGTGGTCGTGCTGGGGTATGGTCGTGCTGGGGTGGGGTCGTGCTGGGGTGGGGTCGTGCTGGGGTCTGGTCGTGCTGGGGTGTGGTCGTGCTGGGGTATGGTCGTGCTAGGGTGGGGTCGTGCATTTCGCTCGAGACATCCTGCCAAAATTCCAGGAAATCGTACAAAAACAAACGAATTAGTCGAGACATCATCGAAATTCCTTCGCGCGGGGCGCTTTTCCGCGTCGCGGTCGGCTCTGCAAAACCAGCGTTTCGCTTGAGACATCCTCAGCAAATTCTGAAAACAAGCGTTTCGCTCGAGACATCCTCAACTCTGCAAAACCAGCGTTTCGCTCGAGACATCCTCAAGAAATTCTGAAAAACAAGCGTTTCGCTCGAGACATCCTCAAATTTTAATTCGCCGGCCTCCTTCGACCTCGTTATTTATCAGGGAAAAAATTCGCCGGCCTCCCTCAAGTTGGCACCGGGGGACAGGTTTACCTACTAAAAGAGAACCCTGGGCCCCCGCCCTTTCCGGGAAAAACACACACAAGGAACAACACACAAGAAACCATAACCACAGTTTGCAGCACTTTCTCTGTAAGGGCGGCGGGAACGGGGTAAGTCTTGAAATCTTGTTTTGTTTTGTTGTGTTAGTGTTTTCTTGTGTTTGTTAATGTTTTCAGCCTGGGTCGTTGTTTTCATTGGTTTTTGTTGTGGTGTTTCCTTGTGTGTTTTGTTGTTCAGTGCCCAACCTCCTCGTCCTCCAAGCTTCATCCTTCTCCTCCTGTCTCCTCCTCGTGGATGGGCGCCCCTTTGTGCTGGAGGAACACATTTGTTTTCATGTGCTTTCCTTCCGAAACCAGCACCGCGCAAGGATTTTACTGGATCACCTCACAACAGGAATCCATTGGAAAGCATCGCAAAGGGGTTCTATTGGAATGTCAGACGCCAGGAATCTGTTGAACATCGCCACAAAGGGATTCTACAGGAAGGGGATGCGCCGCAAAGGGATTTCATTGGACAGCCTCACAGCAGGAATCCTCTGGAAAGCACCACAACTGGATCCGATTGGAAAGCCTCGCACCAGGAATGATTGCCGCGCAACGGGAATCATATGGAAAGCACAACCAAAGGATTCGATTGGAAAGCCTCACAACAGGAATCCTTTGGAAAGCACCACAAAGGGATTCGATTGAACTGGAAAGCGCCGCCAAAAAGGGATTCTATTGGGGAGCCTCGCGCCAAGATTTTTTTTGGAAAGCGCCACAAAGGGGTTCTACTGGAAAGCCGCGCAACAATAGTCCTTGGGAAAAGCACCACCAAGAGATTCCATTGGACTGCGTCACAACAGGATTCCCTTTGGAAAGCATCGCAAAGGGCTATGGAAAGCACCACCACAAAGGGATTCTTCTCGGGATCTTGTGAAGATGCCGACATTGGCCTTGATCTTACGGCGGAAGCCGACGACGTTGGAGGACCGCAGCTGGTGGACCAAACTGATGATCTCCTGAGGGCTGTTGGCCAACTTGGGATCCCAATATGGCCGCGGAAAGTCGCGAGCGGCCTGAAACTCCCAAATCTGCTCCGCATCTCGCCCGATGCAATGCTTATCGTGCTTGATGAGGCCCGCCGCTGCGGGAGGCAACAACGTCTTTGCGTCCTTCGCCTTAGTGCCAGAGCGGCAGATCTTGAGCTAGTTGATATCGTACCCGGCGAGGTTCATCGGCTCCTGTGAGCACAGGTCCCTGGGCGCCACGAGCTCCGCGAGGGCTCTGTCATCATCCAGGTCCGGAGGGGGAGGGCCGTGCGCCTTGACGCGGCGGGCGACGTGGTCCAGCGCGTCACGCTGCAAGGGCGTCGCTTCCAAACCTCCGAATATCCTCGTACTTGAGACGCTCGAGAAAGAAGTAATAGCGGCGGCGAGCTGGTTAAGGGGCCTAACCGCGTCGCATTCTCGGCGCGGCCGATGAGTCTGCTCGCGTCGACGCTGACAGACATACCGAGGAGCGCCTGCGAGCAAAGCAGCAGGGAGAGGCGGCAACGGCGTCGGGAAGATCTCCCCATTGCGCCGCTGAGTGCGGAGGCGACGCCGAACGGCAGCGCCTCCATGGTCAAAACTCTCGGCGGGAACGGCCATAGCTGACGACCGCCCCAGCCAGAAGGGAGCCGACCACTGGGGTCAACTCCCGCTCTCTGTCTTGCTGTCGCCGCGGCCGGTGCCCATGGGTTTGGGCTTCCGCGGCTTGATCATCCCCCCCTGACCCTTACCATGACCTTTGTGACGTTTATCTTCATGGAGCCGTTCTTCTCGGAGAACCCTGGCCTGCTTGAGCGCCTGCGCCCGCTCCCCTGCTTCTTGTAGATCCAATCCCTGAAGCTCTGGCTGGCAGCGGC